AGGAAGGAAGGAAGGAAGGAAGGAAGGAAGGAAGGAAGGAAGGAAGGGAGGGAGGGAGGGAGGGAGGGAGGGAGGGAGGGAGGAAGACGGACCAATTCGGTCTACCCTCATGTACACCTATGAATTATCAGTATTATTACTCCTAGATTTGGTCGCAATAACCACTTAATGCTCTCCAGCTCGGTGCCGCACAGGCCTCTGGAAAGCACCTCCCCTTTTATTTCACCGTTTCCCTGTAACCCCCGTCACCAGTTGGTACTATTTATTTTCCCCACTTTCCAAACAGAAGCTCAGAGGGAAATGAGCCTGTGGTCACCCATGATCACCCGTGGGTAAAGGGCAGGGCAGAAGTTGCACCCAGATCTGTCCTTCTCTGGAACCCAGGCTGCTGATGGTTACTTAGTGTTGTGTGAAAAATGAGGACACTTGAGCTGTCTCCTGGCTCTGCCCTGCCCTCCAGCCCTGGTTTCCAGACCAGCAAGCGCAGCCTCGGAGAGATGAGCTGCTAGATAAGCAGCAGGAATTTCTGGTGTCCCTCCTGGCTGCGCCCCGCTGGCCCCGTGCCCTGGGAGCCGCCGCCTCGGTTTCTGCCTCAGACAAGGAAAAGTCCACTTCTCCATCTGAACCAGACAGACCGGTTTTTCCCGTCCGCTCTCCCCCAAGAATCCCAACGGGGCACCCCAGGCCAGGGCCTCAGGGAGACCCCACTCAGGACGGGGCAGCCCCACATCTGCCGACCCCTCTGCCAGCCTGAGCAGCCCTCCTGCTGTGGACCCACACTTTAGCGGGAAGAAGGAGTCGGAGGGCTTGTCCCATGGTCCACTCTAGGAGAGTAAACACCACTTTTCAGAAGGAGGGGGACAGCGGTAGGTAGCTGAGGGCAGAGAGCAGGAAGCCGCCTGTCTCCAGGGCCTTACCCGGGCCCCTCTGTCCGCGACAGTCACCTTGCAGCTCTGGTGCCCTGAGCACAGGCCTCGGCACATGCGCTGAGATCATTCATTCAACCAATATCGAAGTGGCCTTTACCTCCGGGTCCCTGTCTCTTGCCTACACATTCATCATCTGCCCCCGTGTTTCTCTGTGAGAAACAGACACACAAACACAGAACCAAACCTTATCCCCTCGCTCCTTTAATGCATCCCTTGCAACATCTCCTTCGGGCAAGCACTATAGATAAAGAGAACTGTCTGGAAATCTTGAAGGTGCAGGCCTTTTTTTTTTTTTTTTTTATCCCCCTGAGAAAAAATCTAAAGACGTCAGATCCGAGATTTTTCTCTTTAAATGAGGACTGTCAAAAAGGACACATTCACGCATTCCCCAGGACCTTTGCACCTACAAAAGAATTTCTAAACAATTGAAGAACAGCGATATTTTTGTTAAAATCACCTGCAAAGAGGAGAGATTCATCACAAATGCCAGACAGAAAGGCATTCCTTGATTAGGATGGGCCCTGATCCAGTGACTGGTGTCCTTATAAAACGAAGGAAAACGGACAGAGATACACAGAAGTAGAAAGCCATGTGAAGATGGAGACAGAGACCAGAGTGATATGTCCCCAAGCCAAGGAACACGACTGCTGGCAACCACCAGAAAGTAGGAGACAGGCAGGGAACAGGTTCTCCTTCAGAGCCTCCAAAAGGAACCCACTATGCCCAACACATTGATTTTGGACATCTAGCCTCCAGAACTGCGAGACAATAAATTTGTTTGAAGCCACCCAGTTTATCGGTATTTTCTTATGACAGCCCTAGGAAACCAGTATGTCTTTCTGAGCAACTTTTGACTGCAGATGAATGTCATGATCTGATCTGTGTGACACTGGCATCAGTTTTGACGGAAGGCTGGCCTATTAATTCACTGGGTTCGAGCTCTGGCCCTGCCAACTTCCTAGCTGCGTGACCTAGGGCAAGTTGCTGAACCTCTCTGTGCCGCAGTGTCCTCACCTTCAAAAGGTGCCTACCTCATAGGGTAGTTCTGAGATTAAATAAATATCTGCAAGGTACTCAGATCAGTACCCAACATGGGTTTACCACTCAATACATGTTCTACTGTAATTATCAGTCTGAGAGGTTGGAATATGGGTTTTCCAATCCATTCTCTGCCTGGGTTCCTGACGTAGTCCCCCCCCCCCCCCCCCCCCCCCCCCCCCCCCCGCCCTCGGGAGGCGGGGAGGCCTCCCTCAGACAAAGAATGTATCTAACCTTAAG